TTCTCCCTGACTCTTGCTACTCTTTCATGTTTCCAGAGTTATAGATAACATAAGAAGAGTAAGATCACATTTCGAATTTTCACGGGTTGAAATTGAAGTTGGCGGCTACGCGTTTGTTTATTTTCGTCAGTCAGCCATGGTCAATGCTTTTGTTTTTATTTTCATTTGTAATTTAACTTAAATTTAAATGTAAGTATTGCTGTAAAACTAAATATGAATAATTCTGAATTATTTAACATATACAATACTATTTATGTCACCCCCAATACACATTTATTAAGTCATTAATCTTATTGTTTGCATGAGGGAGGCGAAAATACATTTTGAAAAGGATATAACTAACAAATGCACAAATAAACCAAAGCTCTTCTTTAACTGCATAAGTAGTAAGTAGAAAAATTAGCGTCATCAAAGACAATAACATTGTTTTTACTAAAGAATAAATGTGTGAAATCCTAAATGAGAAATTTCAGTCAGTGTTTGTTCAGAACCCATATTCTGAAATGGCAAATAACTATACAGACGTAGAGTATCGATAATATCACCCTCATACAAAATAAAAAGGAAAAAAAAAAACTAAAAGGGATTAGACCAGACCAAAGCAGAGGGACAATATGAGATTTCTAACTTCTTTTTCAGGGAATGTGCCGAAGAACTATGCATTCCTTTACTGATAATATTCCAGAATTCACTGAGAAAAAGTAAGCTGCCAAAAGTTGAAAAATCTCCAACACTACATCCTTATATAGACAGTTTCGTTAACCAGTGTAGTATGTAAGCTTTTAGAAAGGATAATTAGGAAACAATGGGTTGAACTACTTGGAAAAACACGAACTGATATCAAGTAAGCAATTTGGTGTTAGGGATAGGTCTCGTTGCAAATCTCTCTTATGACAGTATTTTAAACATTACAAGAAAGAGACGGCTAGGTACTCAGACTTTAAAAGGGCTTTTGATAAGATGTTTTCCTGGAAGACTATTATGGAAATTAGAACACATAGGTGGAGTGAAAGGCAAACTCATCGGATGGATAAAAGAACTTTCTTCATGAAAGACGGATGAGCACCGTAATATGAGGGAAGCATTTTACATAGCGACAAGTAACCAACCAGCGGAGTACCTCAAGGGTCGTTCTTGGCGCCGATTGTTTACTATTTTCATCAATGACTTAGGGTCTGACATAAGAATATGTTTGCAGACGACGGGAAAAAAGATAATAGACAATGCTTCCAAAGTAACATCGATAAGTTATACATGTGGAGTTGTGCTTGGAATATAAATTCAACATCAATAAATATCACGCAGTCAGGTTTGGAGACAGTAGAAATCGTCCACATTACCAATACAAATTAGGAGACGCACTATTACACACGTCAGATGGGAAAAAAATCATAAACAGGAACTTAAGCCCAAATGATCATATAAATAAAAAGGTCCATAAGTGCTACGGCTGATTGCGAACATGAGGGTATTCGTGTATGGGGACGATTGTATGGTAAAGATCACAGCCATCATGGTCTAGAATACAGTGGTATTCCACCAGTAGTCCACGCTTAAAAAAGGATGTAGGCAAAGTGGAAATAGTTCATAAACCAGCCGCAAGATGGGCACCTATTCCAAGATTGCAACAGGAATTCCACACTATTCCAAGATATATGAGCTACGAAGATAGACTACAGAAATTAGGACTTACTATTTTAAAAGAAAGAAGGAAAAGGTATGACATGGTTATGCTGTTTATCTATCTTACTGGAAGAGTGAAGGTAGACAAAAATGACTTTATAATTTTGAACAAAAGAAGGGCGAGAGGATACAGTTAAAAGTTAAAAGAGGTGATAAAAAAGGTTAAGTTGTTTCCCAAACAGAACTGAAATCTTGAAGTCTTCCAAATATCAGTGTGTGTACCAAAAAATGTGCATCAATAAAAAAAAATGAGAATATAGCAGATGGGAACACTTGAGCTTAGCTAAGTCCCGTATTAAAACAACTAGGTAAGATCACACACAAATTTATGCATTCTTGCAGTGTGTAGGGGTTTCCTAAAATATTAAAAATGGCTCCTCAAAGATGTTGCGCTTCACCAGCCAAAGGCTTTTAATTTATTTATTTATATCAAACAGTTAAGTTAATTATAATATGTTTATCTGGCAGTTTTCCCCTGCATCCTTAATGAGGTTTACAAACGTATAGGAACATTAGACCATTGACTAATATTCGAAGCATGGGCGTTTTGTATCTTCCTTTTTGTCTTTCCCTTTCTGCAATTATTTGTTTGATCACTATCGATGTGTGTGTGTGTGTGTGTCTAAACAGATATTGGGCTATATTCTTTAGCCACAAAATCAAAACCCTGCCACCATCGCCAGGTCGTGTTCTTCGCCTTCCATGGAACGCGGTACTACCTTCGCTTGGCGGACGGGGAGGAGCTGTCTCCGATCGTCCTCATGGAGAAGAGCGTCTATGGCTCTGACTTCGGCTTGGGTGACGTCATTGTGATTAA